GAATAAAAGTAAAGCAATTGATGATTCCAATAAGGTGAAACAAATAAATTTTTAATATACCTCAGTTCAGCCAGTTGCATCCCATCAGCTTTCATTATCTCGCTGATCACTCACTGGGTATATACATTTAACTACACAACAGTAAACACAAGGCTGAAAGAAGTTTATGACAAAAATCTGAACTTTTATATGAATATTACCTATACAGAACTGCTTTAAACATAGCTGAATATAAAGTTCAATCCAATCCACTTATAAACATGTGTTAAATATTACAATTATATAATATTATCAATGTAGCCAACCAGCATAAACAATTTAAAAGAAACTAGAAATAATCAAAGTTTTGCTGTATTCATAATCATTTATCAGCAAGTACTGTTCTGTTATTTTCTTCTTTTCATATTGCCTTGTAAAATACTATAGAATGCAATTCAAAAAGTCAATGCAAATTTTTATAAATAAAATAAATGTGTTGTTGATAAATGTTCATAGAAGGAAAAACCTTAATAATATCTGGTAATATTTCTCAACACAGTGTATGGTATGATGTCATCAAATAGATAACAACATTCATACAAACAGTATACAGTTCCAATCGGATAGGACTACAGTACTTTCAATTGATTCATGTTTCTATCCATGGCCTATAATATGGCCTGAATTGCCACTAGATCCTTATCCCTCATGTGTGACAAGGGTTCATCCTGATTTGCAATAGCAGTCTCAATTAATTCCACCACTCAATGTTTCACATCTTACTAATTTCTCAATTGTTTTTGCTCTATTAAAAGTACTTAATATATTATTGTCTTTTAAAAAAAAATACATGGGAGTACATGACCAGGAAGCACTTCTTTAATTCTTGACTTCAGCTTTCAGGTGATGCAGAATGAGCATTTGCTTTGGCTGTGGTTCATCAACTTGGTCTGTGAAAATTAATTAAACAAACTAATTCAAAGAGCTTATCAATGCTACTGTGATGGTTTTAATGATCAAATATGTATTTAAATTGTTTCTTTTTAATCAAACGTTGTTTTCCAAAAAAAAAAAAGAAAGAAAAGAAAAATACGTAGTATCAGTATAATACAATATTAAATGCAGGTGGTGATGTTTAATTGGACATCAGAGTGCTGATAAATATTATTTGCTTAAGTCAGTTTTGATACCTATTAATATATTTTTTGTTATGTTGTGTCTAAGGATTCCTATGTAGATAAAGCATACTGTACTAATATAATAATTTTGTTATATTCTTTTCATGAAGACATTAACATCAAATTAAGCCTGAATTACTTAGTCTAAGCACAGTCACTGAAGGGCACATCCCCCACCCCAAAAAACTGAATTGATTCAATTT